TTATCTGTATTTGGAGCTACGACCATGGTGTCTGGCATATAACAGGTGCTCCAAAATGTCTGTGGAATGAGGAAGGGGAAATTAGAGTCAATAATAGTTGTCTGTTGTCTATCCAGGCAAAGACCAGTGAATGTTAATACATAATATATAGCAGGACCTTTCAAGACAGCCATTCTTGATCTTTTTGGTTAATTTGTTTGTTTGACTCTTCCCTACTCCTAAATATACTTTATGGCATATCTTTGATTTTTGCAACTAAAACAGTTGTGATTTACTTAAAATTTGATTTACAGACGCCATCAGTAGGACATACTCTTTGAACAGTATTTCAGATCCTGGAGTTAGGTGGCTTTGAGCCATGCTCATTCTCTTATGTACAATTAGCTAAGGAGGAAGAGGTACACACTCTGAAGTCCATTAGACCCAAGTTGGATCTCTACCCCTTCTCTTTACCTCTCTGACTCTCAGTTTCCTCCTTTGCAATAAGCTTACCTGGAGCAATGTTGTAAGATGGCATTTTACAGATGAACAATGAATACTAGTTAGCTATTATAATTGTGACTGAGAGTTGAACAAAACCAACTGTTGCATTTGACAAATTACCTCTTGCCCTGCTCTCTGAAGCCTGCCTCCCTGTCCCCCTTTAGGTCTTACACTCTATGTCCTCACCTTCTCTGGCTACTCTATCTAAATTAGTTTTCACTAAACCTCTCCCACTGCCTCTAGCTCACAGGTCCCTGTCCCCACTCCAGCTCCTCCTTTGTCATCACAACTCTCCATTTCTTCCTTGGTGTTGACCACCATTTGTAATTCTAGAGTGTAAGTCCAGTAATTGTCTTGTTCAACGTTATAGCTCCTGTGCCTCACCCAGAGTCCAGAACAGAGCTATTAGGCAATCAGTGAGTATCTGATGAATGGACAAATTATACTATATTTTGATCATATTGGGCAACCAATTTGTATAGGAATTTTTTGGAGTTAACTTCAGTGAGATTCCTGGAAACTGTTTCTGCCTTCCTAATGTGAGGAAGACATGTTTGTCATCAAACAGGATCAGCCCAGGTACTAGACTTCCCCTCTGCTGCCCTACTCCCAAGGGCTTCACCACTGAAGAATATTGACAATTATTTCAAAGAAGGTTCTATTCTTGCAGAAAAATGTGTAAGCCTGGATCATCTTCAAAAGTTCTTAGTAATGCATGAATAGAGAACATCTAGAAAAATAGGTAGTTTCTCAAACGAAGCTTCTGTCAAAGAAAGGAATACAATGAATATAAAATCTATTGGTCATGGCTTAAGATGACAATCACAACCCAGCTACCCGCATTTTGCCAGATGCTGAGGGAGCATGTCAGACTGCGTTAAAACACTGATCATGCCCTGCAGTCGCTTCCGAGCGGGCTGGAGAAGTCAAGACTGACATCCTTGAAATCTAGTGAGACTACAAGTCGACATAAATTACTAGCTAAACCTTGTTTTACAGCGGAGTACTAAAGTTACTGGAACTTTAGGCAGAATGCCCAAGGAGAGGGAAGATCATTGAAGGCTGAAAGCTTCCCAAGCTGGGGCTTGAGAAAAGAGCACGAAGAATAGAGAGGCGTGGCCAGCGGAAGAGGGGACGATGCAAGAGTAGCGCCCCCTGCTGGTAGTAGGTTTGCCGTTCACCTAAGGAAGGACGAGAACTGGGCCCTGGAAGGGGGAAGTGAGTGCAGCGGCCAGGCAAACTGCCATTACACGTTGGACAGCCCACCTGCAAAAGTTGTTTCCTGGCCACTTCTCTGCGGACTCCCGCCTTCTCCGGCACAAAGCAAAACTACACCAACACCACCATAATAACTGCAACAAAAAGGAAACAATAAATTCTCTACCCACAGGATTGGCAGCAGAGATTCCACGCTTCTGCCAAAAGGAACCATAAGGACAGCGTTTATGAAAATGGGTCTGGCTAAACAGTTGTTATTTCTGATAAAGGACGAGAGATTGAAAACAAATGATAGCAGGACACAGAGCATGCCCGTGTGTGTGTGTGTTTGTGTGTGTGTGGAGGGTGCATGTTTCCCTCCCTACCCTGGCATCTGCTTGTCTATCCTTGGTTCTGGGCTCCCTGAAGGAGGGTTGGGGCGCAGTCCCCTTCTCCCTTTTCCACTTCTGGCACACTTGGCATCCCCCTTATGACCCATGCCCACCTGTGGGGACCCTCCCTCCCACTGATTTCCTCCCCAGTGGTGGGAGGGGAGCCACGCGCCCCCTGTGAAGTGGGAAAGCAGAGGAAGTGACTTTGATGGATCACATTGTACTGGAGGCCCAGCGCTAGCAGGTTAGAGAGGGGGCAGCTCCAGCCCGCGGGCCTCCAACCAGGGGGGGTTGTTCTGATGAGATAATTTTTCTCATTAACCTTGATAACTCTCTGCTGATATATGGATCTGTTTGCACTAACGCAGGGCTTTCTTTTATCTTTTTTTTTTTTTTTTTTTTTAATCTGTCTACACTGTCTAGGGAGGAGAATGCAGAGCCTCATGGTTCCCTGGAGCTGCGAGGCCCAGCTGTTGAGGAGCCAAGTTGCCAGCTTCTGGGTGCCCCGGGCTGACCTGGAGGGAGGAAAGCAACAGTCCCTGTTTTCAGTACCCTGGCTTTTCTTAGCCATAAAACTCTCAACAAATATAGACTGCATGTTGGAGGGAGTGAGAGGTTCAGAGATTTAAGTATGCCTGCCCCAACACCCAGCTAGCTGCTCTGGCTCTTTACAATCGCCCTCTTTGTTCAGATACTCTGGACTCTGCCCCAGTTGTTCTTTGCTGTAAAGTAGTGGGGCATATTCCTAATCATTATCTAGGGTGTCTTTCCCAGAACACTTTCTCTTCTCCCCAGTTAACATGAATTTCTGTATCATGTACATACTTCTCTTACGGTATTTATTAAGTCTCTCCCCTTGGTAGGCTGTGAGCACTTTGAGATCCGGGCTATCTTTTTCATCTTTGTTTCCTCAGTATTAGTATGGTGTCTGGCACAGAGTAAGCACTTGATACATGTGTGTTGACTTATGAATGAGAATAAGACATGAAATTCGGGAGTACCTTAAATTCCTGAGGGAATTCAGTTTTAAGACGAATTTATTACATAAGTTGCATTGTATCCATTTGGGTCCTAATGTTGTATCCTCCGATCTGCTCATCGAGATGCTTGAGTACCTTCCCAGAGTTTCTCACAGAAAGAGAGGCCAAGACAAGTTGATATACCGAGGCTCTTGTCCACTGTCATGCGAACATAGGGCCCAAGAATTTAATATATTAACAAATACTTTTATGAAAACCCAATGCAGGATAATTATGTTGTTTATGAGATAAGGACAGCAGTTATTTTATTTTTATTTTCTTTTCTTTTTAGGACAGCAATTATTTTAAAAATAATTCACAATACACCACAGTAAGTATGCTCCAAATATGGGACACAAGTGAAATGACCACCTTTCACAGAAACTAACTTAGAAACTACATCAAAATTCAAAAGTAAAGCTCCTTCATTAATAAGATGCTCACGCAGAAGCTTTTCTTCATCTGATCCTCCCCAGCCACATACACACCCCAAACACTTTCACCCCTCCACCAGGTGGAAACCATTCAATAGCCTTTGCTTATAGACTGATGCTCAGTTTTAGAAAGATGCCATTGTTTCAAGAATCCTCCTAATTCATTAATGAGGCCAACAAAGATGTCACGTTGGGTCATAGGGCAGGGTGAGTGGAATTTAAAGAACTCTCCAGGCACCCTCCTCTCTGCAGAATGCAGAAGGAGTCAGCAGGCAGCTGCAATGGAGTTGGAGCGAGGGTTGATGTTCAAGGAAAGACTTGGGCGAGACAGAGAGGGATGGCATTCTCCCTTTCAACAGGGGTGGTTCTCAAGCTTAGTGAACTTGTCATTGCTGACACTGCTGGTCCTGAGAGCCACACTGCTCTATAGGAACCTGACCTCAGAAAAGTGCCAGGTTACCTCAAAGTTATTGGAACTGGGAAAGGAACCAGTGAGTACTGTTTGAATTATAGAAAACCAAAAGCTGTAAAGGATCTTATAAAGCTCCTGGTCTGTACCCTTATTTTATAGACAAAGAAACAACAGCAACTCAGTGAGGGCAAGTGGCATCATTTTAAACATAAGTGACTCAATATTATACCAAGAGAGATACATTTTTGGTCATGAGGCCAACTGAGACCACTCAAGTGGTTCCTTGAGCTACTAAAGATATTGTAACGATTACAGCAATATATACCATGGGATTTAGAAGGGAGTACTTGTTCTTTATCTAAAGATTCTGGTTCCTGAATTTGATGTGAGGAAAACTGTTCAAGTTGTGCTCATAAAATGATCTCTTCCTACTATGTGCCAGGCACCCTGCCAGGCCCTAGGGACAGAGCTCAGAGTCTAGTGGAGGAGGCACATTTTTGACAGTAGGGTTAGAGTTGGCCAAAGACAAGTTCTCAGAAAAGCTTGGCCTCCAGCTTTTTATGAGCATATCAGACTTATAGGTTATGGACGAGTGGAAGAAGCTGAAATGGTTGCAAAGTGGAGTTCCCTTCAAATGTGTCTGAGCCTTTTACAAATGTATAGATACATCCGAAGTCAATGAAATCATTATGCTGTTGGCTTATGCTTTGAGGAAGCCTGGCAAGTAAGTCCCAGGCAGAGCCAGTGGTCCCTATTTTTGCTTTCATCACATGGTTTTTAACCTATCTCAGCCTTAGTTTCTTGTCTAGCTAATGAGGTGGATTTAATAAAATGAGATAATGAGAGTCATGTGCCTCACATAGGGCTTGGCATGTGGAAGACATGCAATAATATTGTAGCTTATGCCAAAGTGAGAGAAAGAATGTTTAAACTAATAGCAGATAATACTTTAATTTTGTTTATGATGAAATCGACAACATTATTATCTCCATTTTGCTAATAAAAAACAAAGGTTCAGAAACATAGAGAAACCTGCTTAAAGTCATGCAGTTAGTAGGTGTGGATCATGAATTCAAACCCAAGGCTGTCTAAAACTAAATTTGTTTTCTTAATGATGCCTTCTTAATGATACTTTAGCCTGTGGGAGAGAAAAAAGTCTGAAAAGAACTGTTTGTTACCTGAGCCAAGGAATGAGTTGACTTACAATACCTTGCTTTTGATGCTGCGGTACATCATCACTTCAACTTTCTTAACATTATTTCATAAGGTAAGAGTTAAAAACTAGATCTGTGGTCAATTGCCACATCCCTCACCTCCCCCCTTTACCTAACACTTAGTCTGCTTCGTTCATTTATACTACCTGTCTCTTTCCTTTGGCGTCTGAACTTATAGAACTTGAATACTCATTTTATATTTCTTCTTATAAAAACACCCTGATATATTATACCAAGTCTGTACAGGTAAGTTCATAGCAAATTTACCCAAGCAGAAAAACAAAGAGAAACCAAAAAAATGGAAACAACCCATATGTCCATTAAAAAGTGAATGTACAAAGAGCTGTGTTATATCCATAAAATGGAAAGTAGTAGTACTAAAGGGGAATGAACTACAAATACACATAGGAACATGGATGAATCCTGAAAACATTATGAGTAAAAGAAGTCAGACACAAAGAACACATAGTGGGTGATTCAATTGGTATGATATTCTAGAACTACAGTTTTATAATCAAACTCACCATGGTGACAGAGAGCAGATCAGTGGTGGCCTGGGTCAGGATGTAGAATGAGTGGGGGATTGACCTAGAGACATAGGGAGGTTTTTGGGGTGATAAAAATGTTCTCTATCTCGATTGTGGCAGTGGTGATCACATGGTGTATATGTTTGCCAAAAGGCATTATTATAGATGCATTGAATTACATGTAAATTATATCTCAATTAAACTGAGTTTTAAAATTGGATCTTGTTGGGCTGACTGGGTAGCACAGTGGGTTAAGCATCCATCTCTTGGTTTAGGCTCAGGTCATGATCTCAGGGTTGTGAGATCAAGCCCCATATAGGGCTCTGCCCTCAGCACAGAGTCTGCTTAAGACTCTCTTGTATTCTCTCTCTGCCCCTCCCCCCCCACACTTGTGCGTGTGCTCTCTCTCAAATAAATTTTTAAAATAATAAATAAGTAAGTAAATAAATAAATAAATAAATAAATAAATAAATAAATAAATAAATAGGTTCTTACTTTGACCAGCAAAAGGATGAGTGGCAGCACAAGGCCTTTGAGAAAGGAAAGTACTAGATAATAGGATAAGGTCAAACTATGCCCACTTGGCAAACGTGCTGAGGGCTTGATGGTAGCAAACTTCCTTGTGTCTCTGAAAATATCTGCTAAACAATGTTTGCCTGAAAAATTCCAGTCCTAGTACTCTAGATTTATTTCATAGAGACATTAAAAGAAAGCAATATAAGAAACATAAACTCATACTATGGTAGAAAGCATATTTAAGGAAATGACCCTTCAAAAGACTGTAGCATGCCATGATTCTGAGGATTTTATCAGGAGCTTGAGCCCATGGTTGTAACGAACTGGGTGCAGAAGTGCTGGGAAGAGTGAAAGGATTGATTCTGAAAAGGCAGCTGGCATTAAAAGACAGAAAATTATATTACTCCTTACTTGAAACAAAGAAAGGAAATTCCCATTATTTCTGAATGAAGATGAGACTGGGTTAAGGAATCTAGTTCTCCAAACAAGCTAGATAATATATAGCCCAACACCACAAGAACCACAAACACTGGAAAATATTCGACATGGGACCTCTTGTTTATGATATTTGATCTGGAACTTGACATCTCGTCAAGATGCAAATAATGGAAGAAACTTAAAGATTAGCTAATGGAAATGTAGGTAATTTACATACAAAACCTGGAATTCACCTCAAATGCTTTATTGTACTTATAATTCACACAAATCCTCAGTGTGGTACCTGGCACAGAATGGGATGTAAGTAAATCTTTGCTAGAAGGAAGAGAGGGAAAGAGATATGGAAGGAAGGACCATATTTTAAGTTTTGGATGACTCCATGTATTTAAAGACAAAAAATAATGTATTAGATTAAAAAAGTTCAGTAAGTAAAATACATTAACTTTTTTTAAAGATTTTATTTATTTATAAAAGACATTAATTTTTTAAAAATTTGATGCCACACCTTCTAACCTACCCCCTCCAATAATCTATTGATAAGTGAGTTAAAATATATATTTAGAATAATTTTAGAAGTCCATAATTATGAAAGGCATATATAGGGATGAGTGCTAAGAATGAATTTCTGTCTCTGCATTCCTCCCTTAGCAAACTCTGGGTGAGGAAAGAGAAAACATGCTTAGACCACTCAGGGGATGTCACACGCTCAACTAGGCATCCGACTTAAGGATGGGAAATGGGCCATGATTAAGGAATCAGAAATGGGCCATGATTATTGAGTAGCCATGGCAGTTCAGCTGATGGATGATCAATGGACTTCAACTCAGATGCACAGTTTGACTGACAGAAGAAAATTGTCATTCAGGCTAATGGGGGACTTGAATTGGACTCATGGTGTTAGAAAGTGAGAAAAGGGTAAGTCTTCCCAAATGAGAAAAAAAATAATCTCTTTGGTGAGTCCATCCTTTTAGCCTGAGTCCCTTTGATAGTCAACAGTATAAAAGTTTGCATTTTCAAATGATCTTTTTCAGTTAGGATTTTATCAACATTCTTTGTTGGTATTATTTAGTATCTTTTCTCAGACAGAGGCTAGAAATTGCCTTCTTTCCTCCAGGAGAGAGTAACTGAGCATTATAAAGGTTTTCTGCCAAAAGCATGGGGCCTCAGATAAGTAATCTCATCCTTCACCCATGATAAATAAGCTATTAAAAATCAAGAAAAAAAGGTAACAGTTGGAATGTCTGAAATGCACAATGTTGTAGAAATCTCATTTGTAAGACCACAAGTCTTCTCCATTGTTTAGCCACAATGCTGGAGTCTTCTCTATTTATATTTTTGTTTGGGGATTTTTCTCTTCCCCAGGCTGAAGTGCTTTGTGCATGAGACAGAAAAGCTGCCAGGACTAGTCCATCTGGCTGGCCAAATGGATTGCGTTCACTGGAGCATTGCCAGATGTGTATCAGTAGAAAGTTTAATTTCTGGGCAGTCTAAGCCCTTGGTCCCTTTCTCAGTTTAATGGAAATCACGTTTCCATTTTCCAGAAACTCCTGCAATTGGCCTGAGTGTCGTCACCCAGTCTTGCCTCCCAGTCTCAATAGAGATCACCCTCCTCGAGAGTGGAGCCTCTCCTCTCTATCAAGTCCAAAGCAGTGAAATGAGTTTGACAAAAGGGTTTATGCTAAGTGAAAAATCACTATGCTACATTTGATTACATTTGTCTGACCTTGAACAATTTTAGGAGCCAGAGTAGTCATTTTAGTTAAGTAATTTAGTTTAAATTGCATAATTAAGAAATAAAATTTCATGGAATTCCCTAGATTAATTTGCACTTATGCTTAAGAGCATCAACATTTATAATCAATTTAAAGAGGAAATAGGCCTAGAGTATTTTATAGTTTGCAGTGAAACCTAATTGGATTCATTTGGGCTGAAATAGGAAATACAGAGAGATCTGTATTTTTAATTTCCCACATCTTAAGGACAAATAATGGGCACTTAATCTTTGTGAGGCACTGAGTTTTAGACTTGAAATTGCAGAAATTGTGGCTTTCAAAGATAAACTGGCTGATTCTCCTGTGTTCTTACATTTTGGGGAAGGCATTCAGCAGAGCAGGATTGTGGCAAGAACTCACAGGCCAGGTTGGCCTACACATGGTAAGTAGGTGATGGCCACCGAGGAGAGTGTTTGGGACCAGTGTTCTTGTCAGCCCTCTGTATGTGTTCTCTGCCCACACTTGTCACTCCCCTCTTTCAAAAAAATATTTTAAATGGGAGTGTCAGATTTGAGTGTTTAAGAAGATTCTGCCTGAGGTATAGGGAAGGGATTTGAGGGGAAATGGATGGAGAGAACAAGGGATCATTTTTAAGCTCATCTGTCTATCCTAGTCACAGATCCTGAGATCCTGAATGGAGACAGCAGTAGTAGAAGTGCAGAAGAGGAGATATTCGAGAGGTAATACCAGAAGGACTTGGTAATCTATTGGGAGAAGATGTGGGAGAAGGGAGAAATGAGGGAGTGAGAGAAAGCAAAGATGACTGGCAGGTTTCTGCCTGGGGTGACAGCTAGTTATCCACATATCCAGACACCCAAGTTTGTCCAGGCCTGTAGTACTATCCTTTTATACTCCGGTGTGTCCCATTTTGGCAGATAGATTTGTATGGTCACTTTAGTAGAAGAATGAATGACAGTCACATTGAGAATATTAGGAAAGAGATGTGTTAGAAATGGAGATTTTGGACTTGAGATGCCTGTGGTTAACTGTATTTATTCATTCACTTCCTTCAAATCTTTGTTCAAATCTCCCTTTCTCAATGAGGTTCTCTTGAACATCTTCTTTAATCCTCAACCCTCCGCCTTGTCCCATTCCTGATCCCCCTTATCTTGCTCTACTTTTTCTTTAATCTTAGCACTTAACATCTTCCACTGACTAACATGTTCATTGACCATTGCTTATCTGCTATGATGGGAGCTCCTTGAGGATAAGGATCTTGATCTCTCCTGTTCACAGATGTATTCCAAGTACCTAAAACAGTGCCTGCTTTTTAGGAGGTGATCAATGACTATTTTTGAATGAATGAATGAGTGAAATTAAGGAACTCAACAAATACATATTGAGAACCAACTATGTTTTGAACTCCTGTGTGTGTCTTAGAAATGTTTGGTAGTTCCCAGGATGCTCAATAGAAAGTGAATACATGTGACTCTGAGGCTTGAGGAATGGTCTAGGCTAAAGTTATGAAAGTGTATATCAGTACTAAGCAGATCATGTTTGCACTATGGCATGAATAATACCCCTTAGTGAAATCATTTTAAGAGGGGGCTCAGGATTGAGCCTAGAGATTAACAAAAATTAGGGGAAGGTGTGAGGTGAGAAATTTGAATGGAGACAGAGTAGGAATAGCCAATGAAAAAGCACAATAAAAAAAGGGCCATGTCATGGAAATTGAGGGGGATTAAAAATAATTTTTGTAAAGAGAGAGTTATAAAAAGTATGAAATAAACCACATTATTCGAGTAAAGCCAGAATTGCCATTGAATTTATTAGAAAGATGGTTGCAATGGAATTAATTGT